TGAGCTGATGGAGCTGTTGTTCTTGTCCCCCGTGAGCTGGGCATTTCGTAGCAGCGGCCGTCACTCACTCTGCTTTCTCTCCCCAGCACCGTATGTCAAGGTGTATCTATTAGACAATGGAGTCTGCATAGCCAAAAAGAAGACAAAGGTGGCGAGGAAGACGCTGGAGCCCCTGTATCAGCAGCTCTTGTCCTTCGAGGAGAGCCCCCAGGGGAAGGTGTTACAGGTGTGCACTCCTTACTGACCTCTGACACTGGAAAGCACTTTCCTGCAGCCTGACCTTAGATTCAGTGTCCTCCCTGTCCAATTCTTTTCCGTTCCTCATGGCTGAGATCCTGTCCACTGGAGGTAGTGGCCAGGGCTCTGAAGCTGTTTGTTGTTGGTCTCCCTACAGGGGAGCTCCCTCAGACATGCAAGCCTGGGTTAAACACCAGCTTTTTTCCTGGGTGACTTCAGACCTTCACACTGTAGTGTGGTTTCCCTAGTACAACCCTAACTTCTGGGAGCCAAAGGCCACATTGTCATCGATCAGACTCTGCTACTTACCTTGACCTTGACAACAGCACGTTAGCTGAACACATTTTACTAGTTTAGTTATGACTTCACTTGTGGGTTGTGATTTGTGTGTTTGAACTAATGTTACTTTTTATTTTGCCAACAGATCATTGTCTGGGGAGATTACGGCCGCATGGATCACAAATCCTTCATGGGAGTGGCCCAGATACTTTTAGACGAACTGGAACTGTCCAATATGGTCATTGGGTGGTTCAAACTCTTCCCTCCCTCCTCCCTGGTGGACCCCACTTTGGCACCTCTGACAAGAAGGGCTTCCCAGTCATCTCTGGAAAGTTCCACTGGACCTTCTTACTCTCGCTCATAGCAACCGTAAAACTGTTGTCACCACTACCAGCGACACACACACACAGAAGAAAACGCACAGGTCGAAAGCCCTGGCAACACTGCATGCTTAATGTTGTGTCCTCGGAGCCCACGTCTAGGGCTATAAAGCGACCCTGTGTCCTCAGAGGGAGTCGTCCGCACTGTGCCCTAGCGAAGGCCCTCAGGTGAAGGAGCAGAGCTGTGAAGAACTGTCGGGTTTGGAGTTCAGTGACACTCGAGATCCAGTCCAATCTGAAGCCATGGATTAATCTCAAAGAATCAGTCAGCCCTTTTCAATGGCACCTTTATATTTTTATTGTTTTTCTTCGTTTCTCTGACCCCAAAGCCTGTTATGCCACAGAAATGGAGCTCTACAGCCATTAAGCCACACTGCAGGCCAAGGAGCAAAGTCTAGGAAGCGTCAGGTGGAAAGCAAGAGACCAAAGAAGCGGCCGGGAGCAGAGTCGGCTCCGGCAGGGAGACTGGGAGACTCTGGGGAGCTCCGGGAGCATGGCGTTCGCAGCTGCGGCCATGGTTGGACTCTGGAAATCCCAAGTCTGTGACTGAACTGCACTGGATGAAATCAAAGAGACTTTTCTGCATGGACACAGATAGCTGAATATTTAAATTATTTTCTCGGGGCTGCAACTTGCAAAAAAAAATAATAAAATAAAATAAAAAATCAGCCATTTTCAACAATTTATATTATTTTTAAAAATAAATTTCACTAGTGCATGGTTTTAAAATGGGAGCGAATGCTGCAGGGTGATACCAAGACACACCATGTTTATTCTCTACTCTCAGTCTGTGTTTTGGCAGACATTACCAATGGAAATACTTTCTAGCAGATACTGGAAATCCTCTTTATGTGACAATAGTATAACATACTCCATTTATTTCCATGTTAAATATACAGACCTTACGAAGTTCAACATGTGCAGATTTTCACATCTTTCTCCTCTTCTCTGTCTCACTTTTCTTCTCACTTTTGACCTCTTCTTTCCTTTCTCTCCTCCAGAGTGACCCTTACACTAAAACCCTGCAAGTCTTTGACCTGACCCCATATTTGGTTCAGAGTCCCAGATGCATCTGAATTGATGGATTTCTCACGTCTGTTCGGGAGCTCTCTTTATTTCAGGCATGTTGGAAGGATCCCGTAACACGACTGGGATACAGAGCACGTCAGCGTGTGTTTGACAGAGAGGATGTTTGAACATTCCAAGTTTTTTCGACACTGCATGGGAATTCTCCTTTCACCTCCAAACCTCAGTTTCCAGGACCCCTACAGTCATGTGGCGCCGTCACGTCTCTCGGATTTGTTTTCAGCACCAGCACCAGCATTATTCACACGGGGGTTAAGCATTATTTGTAGGCCTCGGGTTTTGTTTGTTTTCTAATTCGTTGGAACAGTTTCTTTAGCTGAGTTCCATTTACTATGTGAATAGAAACACGGCCGACTATGTGGAGCCCTGAAACACAGGGCTGTTTATTAATTCATTTTTCTGTAGGAAAATTCAATTTTTCACAAATTATATTTCTAAAGAAATATAGTAAACATAAATTTGCAAGAATTTTAAAGCTCCAATATTTGGGTGACTCCAAGTCAATATGATGCCTCTTACTAGTTATCCGATGCCATCACCGAGCATCTATACACAAACCCTCAAGGCAAACCGCGCCTTTGGCCTATGGGCAGTTTCTACCATTGAGTGGAGCCACAAGGTCCACCAAGAGAGGAAATGTCACTGGTCATCATAAGCCACCCATCCTTCCCGTTCCTTACGCAGGCTTTGGTTCCATGCCCTTAGAGATTGGTGTTAACTCCTTGCAATGATTTTCTGAACTCCATCTCCATCCCATTGGTTTAAATGGAGGCCATGCACACAGAAATATTTTCTTTGTTTCTGTTTTCACAACCAACGCTGACCATTGCAAACTGTCGTGCTTGACATGGTGCAGAAGTTGAAACGAGCTCTTACTCACAATGCCTTCTCTTTATGTGGTGCAACATGAGCTAGCTACGCCCAGCCCGTGTCTTGATTGCCTGAGACCTAGGACAGAGCCAGGTGAAGTGAGGTAAGGAGCACAGTGTGATGAGACAATTTAGACACCTGTGTTCCAGCAGCGACGCGGGTGGATAGACCTGTAGCGTCTTCATTCTCCCTTACCGTGTTCCTGACACCAAGATGCAGTCACGTGATCTTTTCTGCAGATTCCTATACAAATTATTTCTAATTTTAATAAGAAGGACATGACTGTGGAATATTTGTACATACTTGTCATTATGCAGTATTTATTTTGAAGTTGGTGTAGTTTTTTTTTTAATTTTCACATGTCTGCACCTCTATGACTCCATCGTGTAAATAGCACTATGCCAGTGACCGTGGCTGCCCTATACATAGGATGTTTTCGAGTAAAGAGAATCCCAGTTGTGGGAGAACGGTGTGGGGAGGGCAGATTAGGCCTGTAACAAATACCGACTGATGTAAATCCAATTCATTCTGGTGATGGTATTTAACTCTTTAAATAAAACATTTTCTTTACGTATGTTGTTCCTGGTGCTCTCTGGGGCGTCTTGTATCCCCAAGCCCCCTCCACTCACCCTGTGAGCTGGCCTGTCATTCCCAGGCGGCCAGCGCTGCTTCTCCTACTTACGACATGAAGGAGTTACCGCACTGCTGTTAGTAGACTGTATCTGTAAAGTCTAGGGCGATTTCTGCTCTTATCATCGAAAGTTGCTAGGGCGTTTTCCAGTGAGATGACTCTGAGAGTTCATCCTGAGGGTTACTGATGTCAGGGTTACAGTGTCTCAGTCACTCTTCTGTAGCTGTGAAGAGACGCCATGAGCAAGGCAACTTATGAAAGAAAGCATTTAACTGGGGCTGGCTTACAGTTTCAGAGGATTAGTCCCTTATCATCATGGTGGGAATCATGGCGGCATGCAGGCAGTCGCTGGAGCAGTATCTGAGACCTGGATTCTGATCTGTAGGCAGAAAGAGGGAAGGTAAGACATGCTTTTGAAACATCATGTGTGCCCACCCCCAGTGACACACCTCCTCCAACAAGGCCACGCTTTCTAATATTTCCCAAACAGTTCCACTAACTGAGGACCAAGCATTCAAAAATAGAAGCCGGTGGGCAGCATTCAAACCACTACGCTGAGTATCCTGGTCCCTGGGTGAAGACGGTAAGCCAACTTATCATCCAACTGATGTGTTTCCATTGCAAGTCTGCTCAGCTTTGTGAGGGGCTCAGTTGTTTCCAGTGGTGGAGACACATAGTAGGAACTCGAGGACTGAATCAAATTCATTTAGAAGCATTGTTCCAGGCAGAAGAGGGCACAGAACAGCAGGACTGCCCCCAGGGAAGCTGTCCTTCTGTGCAAGACAACCCAGGGTGAAGTTACAGGTGTAAGAATGGATTCCCAACGTGAGTTTCTCTGGGCTCCCGTGAGAGTGCAAGGTCAGGATAAACCCAGACCCCTAGCAGGAAGAGTTAGCTGGTTCCGTGACTCTGCTCCAGGAACTGGCTGACCACAGAGTTAGATTATAATCTTGAGAACAATCTTGAGAAACGGGGAGTTACCCCCTTGTGATTATCACTGGTATTTTCAGAATTTTCCAATAACGCCCTCCCTACCCGCTTTGGGTTGTGGTTTCTTCCTTTAAATACCCCTTCTCCCAGCTACTCGGGGTCCAACTCCTCTACCCCTGTGTGGGATATGAGTCTCGGCCCCAGCGCACTGGTTCTTGTCAATAAACCTCATGTGATTACAGCAAGGATGGTCTCTCTTGAGTTCTTGGGGGCGGGTCGTGTTATCCCGAGACTTGAGTGAGAGTCTCCCAACTCCATGGGGTCTTTCAAGAGCAGTCAAGTGTTTAGCCCAGTCAGCCAGTGCGGGTAGCTGGTGTCCACAAACAGGTTAAATAAAATGAAGGTAAAGGCCATGGAAAACTAGAGTGAGAAGAAAATAGTCTAAGCAAAGAGAAGAGTGGGTAAGAGATCTGGAGGAGTCCAATTCTGCCACCTTTGTCTCTGCAGCGTCTGGACAGCAGCACATTCAAGACTGGGTGAGAAAGTGAATTAATGAATTAACGATCCAAGAAAAAGAATGAGGGTTCTAGATTCTGGATTATTCTTGAGTCATTAAAGAATTGGTGTTTGAAAAGCTAATTGTTGTAAATGGTGGGGTTTATCCATGTAAATGCAGATGCCTTCAGGAATGAGGGGCATAGGAGTTCTGAAGTGGGGATGCAATCAGTCGTGAGCTGTGCTGCCTGAACCTCCGGGCCCTTAACAAGAGCAGTGCACTCTTAACTGCTAGGTCATGTCTACAGGCCCAAGAAGCTTGTTGTTAATTAATGGGAAAGAGGCCTTACCAGTGAGATAGCTGATGTGAAGAGTCTCTGTGCTGCTCCGGCTGAAACGGCTCCTCGGCTGCTGTTCACTTCCTCGCTGTTTCCTTTCCACATCTCTACCAAGCAGCCCACATGCCCAGCTCATCACACGCACAAGTCAAGCAGCCTCTACAGGAAAAGCTGCCCCAGATCTCTTCAGAAAGATGACTGACGTCAACCTGAAAGTCCAAAGATTCCCAAACTCTGAAATTCATGTTTAAAATTCACATAAGACAGAGGAGTCAAGAAACTTCAAGTCTGTGATATCCTTAACAGCTCTCCATAACCAGCTTCCTGTCCTTTTGTCGTGGGGCAAAAGACCCATCAGGATTGTTTCCATAAGTCCTGTCATCTTCTGATTTATTCCACTCCCATGTCCCCAACTGATAGTGGGCTGGGGTGCAGACTTCCACTGGATCAACCCCTGTGCCTAACCTGTGAACATTTTTGTTGGTGTTCTGTTTCTCTTTAACACCACAGAGGCTGTCCATCTCTTCTATTGGATACAAGAGAAGTATCGGGAGTGCTGGTTGTGGTGCTTCCTGCTACCACATCAAAGCTGGTTTTCCTTCAGAGAAGACAAAGTCAGCAAAGCCAAGAGGTATGATCAGAAGTTTTATGGGTTTCAGCTGGGCACGCCTTTAATCCCAGCACTGAGGAGGCAGAGGCAGGCAGATCTCCATGAGTTCAAGTCCAGCCTAGTCTACAGAGCAAGTTCCAGGACAGGCTTCAAAGTCACAGAGAAACCCTGTCTCAAAAAACCAAAAAATAAAAAAATAAAAAATAATAAAAATAAAAAAAGCTCTATGGTTTCACACTCTCAGCTCCGCTGGGACTGAGGACTGATGGCCAGTAAAGTCTTGTTCTGTCAAAAGAATTCCTGCTGCTTGAGGTTATATATCCAAATCAATACGTTTGCCCAGGATGAACCTAATGAAACTGTAGAATCTCTAGGAGGCACTGAGGATCACCAGGGCCGTCTTGTAGCGCTGAGGGAGCGCTAAGTGCTGGCCAACCCCTTAGCTAGTAGTTGGTTTCCATGGAATGCATCCCACTCCACAGTCTCAGACTCCTGATGGGAGATAATGGATTACACTGTGTAAAGATATGTCATTGTGATTGGTTTAATAAAAAGCTAACCAGCCAATAGCTAGGCAGGAGGTACATGTGGGACTTCTGGACAGAGAGCACTCTGAGAAGAAAAGGGGAATCGCCAACCAGACAGAGGAAGCAGGACATGCAGGACGAGAGGTAAAAGCCAAAAGTCACACGGTAGCACATAGGCGGACAGAAATGGGATAACTTAAGTTACAAGAGCAGTTAGAAACAAGCCGAAACTAAGGCCATGCTCAAGCTTTAATAATTAATAAGAAGTCTCTATGTCATCATTTGGGAGCCGGCTGACGGGACAGAGAAAGACTCACTACAGGCTCCCCTTCTTAAAACAGCCTCAATCTCTCCTCAAGTATTTCTTTCTCTGAAACATCCACTATCATCTAGAAACACAGAGAAAAGGGCTGATCCTCTGCCACAAGCTAGACCTTCAAATACTTTACTGTAGCTATTTTATTACCCCCAATTCTTAGAAAGCATAGTAGCACGTCAGCTAGAAGTACCTGCTCCAGATTGAAACTGCTATCAGAGCTTGAACATATTCTTATCTGATAGGGATCTACCCATTAGAGCTGTGTACCCTTTCTCTCCTCTGCCAGGGAAGCAGGAAACATTTTTCAATAGCTAAAAAGATTGGTGGAATGTATTAGTTGAGAGACTGTGCACGGTGCCAGGTGAGCAAGGACTCAGGAAGAGGGAGCTGCCCCTGTCACAGCCGCAGAGCTGCCATACACATGTGCCCAGTTTACCCTTCCCCTCCTAGGGATGTAGACTTCCTGGGGCCACTTGTCACTTATAGAAACTGTCATCTTACCCTCTCCAAATGGGAACTGGCCTGAGGAGGGCGTCCTCTGGGCACAACCCAAAGCCTGCTGCTGTTCTCTGCAGCTCTATCCTAACACTTTTTCAGAGCAAGTGGGTGGTCAGTCCAGCATCTCGGATCCTCTGAGGGATCTTCATTCGAAGACAGAACACTCTTCCCATCAGTCTTTGTGGCATTTCATTTATAACCAGGGTCAAACATAAAAGCTTAGTCTTGGTTATTCTTTTTTCCGTGTGGATTTTGTCCAGTATTCAAGCCGCTAGAATCATTACGACTGTCCTACCACTGACTCGCTCTGAACTGTGTGAGGTCTGAGGGCTCCTCTGAGACATCCCATCAGCTTGTCCTGCCAGCTTCGCGTCTCCTGGACTCTGATAAGGGTTTCCTCTGGTGTTTGTTCATGTCTTTCATAAAACGTTGACTAAAAGGAGCCAAGATCAAAGCATGGAAATAATATTAATCACCACTAATACTTACTGTCATGTAACACATCACTTACAAACAACTTTAATTAATGTGTATGACCCAAGTTAATTCTTACGACTACCTTCTAAGGGACTTCAAATCTTTACTTTGCAAGTATGAAAACTATAGTTCAGCTAGGCTAAATCTTAAGACCATGGTCGCCTATCTGGAAGGTATGTTGGCTGCAAACCTGGGTCTTTGGACAATACGTTGGATTTCTCGCCTCACTGTGAAGGTACTTTGCTCAACCACAATCTGCTAGGCATGTCCTACTTTGTCCTCAAAGAATTCACTAAGATCATTCTAGAATGATCTGCTGAAATATAACCATGAAGAATACAGTTCCCTTTTGAAGCAGGGGATGGGAGCTATTTGTTATAATGGTACCTGAGTTTCCTGAGGTGTCGTTAGGATGTGCAAGTGGGGTTAGCATGAAATGCACCTGCACTGGTGACTCTTCCTTATTGTGAGCGTCTCTTCCTGTCCTTTAGTTTTACCATTTCTGGTTGAAGATTCCCTGCATTCCGCCTACTTGCAAACAAGAGGCAGGGAAATTGGAAAAACACACTGTCTTCTCACTCCTGTCACCAGACAGCAGACAGGCCTTGCCCTTCCGTGACAACTACAATCTACTCAAAGGGTCAATCTTGTTACTTCCGGCAGCTATTGTTCTCCCTAGGTTCAGACCTCCTGCCGCGCTGCCTGAAAGTACATTCCCTGCTTCTGTTTGTCCTCACTCCGTGGT